AACAGAATTTGCTGCCTCTTGTTGTTGTTGAGGTTCTACATTACTCATAGGGATTTGTATTGCTGCTGATGGTCGATTTTGGTATATACTGGTCTGGTTTTGTTGATGATTATTTCGCGATGATGGTGATAATAATGCTTGATGTTGTTGTTGGCTATCTTTTCGCAATGATATTTCACTTGTTGTTTTACTTGTTAACGGTGAGTGTGATTGTTTAACATCAGGATTAGCAGATGGTGGTGGTAGTTTTGAGTCTTTTTGAAGTCGAATATCTTTTACTTTCGTATTAAGGTCACATTGCTGCGATGACGGTGGTATCAGAAGTTTTCCGGAATGATTTCGATTTATTTCGTAAAATTGCGTTTTTTTATGTAAATGCTGATGTGAAGAAATCGGTGATTCACAATAAATATAAGCATTTTTTTCCGATACTGACGGCGATGATCGTGGTTCAATAGTTTTTACAGCTGCAATAACATTTTTTTCTCGAACTGTTCGTGATCTAAAGAAAGATGGTTTTCGATTTCTTTCATCAAATATTTTACTTCTCTTCCTTTGGCTTATTGAACTCCAAAATGAGATTTCCTTACCGAAGATGAAAGAAACTACTAGAACTGAAGATTTTTCGTACAATGACATAAATTGTGTTTCAAATGTTCTAGTGCGAAAAATTTTCAGCATTATCTCTCATCCTGAGCAATAGATCAGTAGATGTTACTCACTAACCAGTAAATACTAAAGTCTTTCAGACTTTACTTATATTTCGAATACTACTAGATATGTTAAAAACAACCAATTACCGTGGTAGTGTTTTATTAGTTTCTGATTTATTTTTTCCATTTGACCCACAATTAGTGTTTGTCACTCGTGGCTTTGATGATAGTTGTAGTTGCGATGGATAATACTCAAATTGATCTTCACTTCTGTCATCCCAATATGAATAATAATGTTTACCCATATCGTCATAATAATAATAAAAATCATTATTAATACCATCATGGACTGCATAGTATCGGAATTGAGCATATTTTCTTATTTGGCTATACCACGATCCCCCACCGTTATCTGCTAGTTTTTTCGAATTTTTTGAAACAAATGATCTTGTTGTACGTGAATATAAATCATCAGGATCAATATACGCATTTGAATTGCGTGCTGGTTTTGAATAGTTTTTTTGTTGTTGATATCTATTTCGACGATGGAACATGTTTTCTGTTTATTTTGTTGATTTGTTCAAGTGATTTTAAAAAAAGTACTTTTTCCTGTTAAGATTCAACGTGATAAAGAGAGAACATTAGTCATTTTCAGTATGAATGAAAAAAGACTATTATTAAGCGCTGCTCTTACTTGGTAACCTGATATTTTAAAGTTATTAAAAATAAATTTATAAATGTTTTTTTGAATCGAACTGAAGCAGAAGAAAATTGAAGTTAGGTTGTTAACTGGCGCCACTACATTTTCTGTTGTATCAATACTGCAATACGCATCACAGATCTAATTAAATAGAACAAACATGAAGAAAACTGCTGATTTTACGTACAACGTCGCAGATTTTATAGTACAGACCAGTTCTCTGAATTATAAGTTCACTGAGTGAAGCACAAGGAAATTTACTATACACTTCTTTCCAGACGAAAAAACTTCCATGCTTTTTTCCTTGGTTCATTCCACGAAGACACGATTCCTACGCTTTTATACAATTTTCTTGTCTTTATATCTTTCGAACAGAAGAACGTCAGGAGTATTATCAGGAGTATGATACGTCTCATCTAGTTAAGCACTATTTTTGTCACAAAATGAGACTGTCGCAATACTCCTGACGTTCTTCTGTTCAAAAGCTATAAAGACAAGAAAGTAGTGTAAAAGTGGCGGAATCACGTTTTCGACCGGGTTAGGTGGATTGATCGTGAACATATTTATAGCAAAGATACTTATTTGTTATGGGATTTTCTAGTTTCACAAATGTTTTAAATTTGTTTTGACATAGTAAAGATAGTTTGCAGCTACATCAGCAGTAGATGAACGAGCTGAAGTTCTTTCTTTGATATGTGCTTTAATTAACCGATACACAGTACCAGAAAATGAGTGTATTTTACATAATTTACAATCAATATCACCTGAAAGCATTTATTGCATGTATAATACAAATGGATAATCTTTGAGATGATTTATTTCTAATTATCATTCATAACAGCTCCGTGATAATGTATGGGAGTTAGCAAACTTGATCAAAAAGATCTTTGGCATATGTAGAGCGCTCTCTCTAAAAGTTTTCATATCGTACAGAACCAAAAAAGGGTATTCCCATGCGTGGATACCCGTTTTGGAATCTCTGAGTAACAAATGCAGATACTCTCTGTTTTTGGTTCTGTGGAATGAGAAATACTCTCAAAGAAATCTTACAAAACCAAAAAAGGTACACTAAAATACCAAAATGGCATTGTAAAATACGGTTAAGGGTATTTCTAATTCCACAGAACCAAAAAAAAGAGGGTACCTGCATTTGTTACTCAGAGATTTCAAAAAGGGTATCCCGGCATGAAACTACCCTTTTTTGGTTCGTCTTTTTTAGAGAGCTGCAGATGACGACTTTTTGACAAGCTATAATTGAACCTATAAAAATCTTCACAACCTAACTCTAACTGATTAGTGTTTTTCGTAACTTCACCTAGGTTAACCTAATATTACCGATGCAATCTTTTCCCAAAATCTGGTTTCAGAAATTTAAACTTCAGCTCTGTTCCAGATCGTTATTGTTTCTCATCTAAACAGTGTCTGATAGAAAAGCTTATACAAAATAAATCATATTTTAAATCAATAAAGAAATGAATCGGTTGAGTCTTTTATCCTTTAATGCAACGTTTTTCTGCTTCCGGAGTAGGGGACCGTCTTAAGAGTACACTGAAAACAAATCGCACGTTCAAACTGTGCTAACCTGACCATTTACACACCAAGCCTGACATTTTATCCGTTCTAACCTGATACTTTTTCCAACCTTACGGTTAAAACGCCAGGTCAACATGATGTTTTAACCGTTCGATTTAGGCATGCATCGATTTCGGTTAACCGAAACTGAACATAACCGAAAATGTTGCTCAAGTTCTTGAAAATACGTCTGACACAATATGAAGGAAACATCTGTTGTTCAATCAACAACTGTTCATCCTGGAAGAAAGATGCAGGGTGTACAAATTCAGAAATAAGCCAAATAAGTGGTATTTCTGACTTTTCACCGTGAAGAAAGAGTTTCCCAGAATTGAGTTTCGCAACAAAACTATGGCAAATTTAATTTTCTAGATTTTATTTGCTGGGCGCACCTTTATACAAATCGATCTTCATGATGAAAAGCAGTAAATATCAGTTTTCATCATGAAGATCGATTTGTATAAAGGTGCGCCCAGCAAATAAAATCTAGAAAATT